ATTTTTTTGTTATTCTGTGGTATAGTCCCTGTGTTCAAGTGATTACATATACACACTCAAGCGCCAAGTTGTTACTCATTCGCCAGTGTCTGGTGGTTGTTCAATAAATGCATGTGCTACCGCTTTGTGTATGAATAATTGTTAGCACGCATAGTACATCACTATATATACATATATCTGAATTTAGCTTTATATGTAGTTTGTTTGATTGGTCTATCAGATGTCTTCGTTAGCCACAACAAATTCAACTGATCTTTGTTTTCTGTAACAAAGGAATGTTTTTTTTTTTTTTTTTTCTGAGGGTTATAGTTGTTAACCCTTGCACAACCACTGTTTTACAGTTTGCCTCTCATCATTGATCACAGCTTTTTTTTTTTTTTTGAACGATTTTTTACGTATTTATACTTCGAAATTTTTAAGGAAAAAAAAGTTTAAAAGTTGTATAATTATAGCAGATAGAATGCTTTTTTGTTTCTAATTTTTATCTCTAAATTATAAAGAATTACTGACCCAAATATTTTTATTCTTTTTTTTTTTTTTTTTCAGACCAGTTCTATATTTTTCATGCTTCATTTTTTTTTTTTTTTGTGTGTGTGAATTTTTCTAGTATTTTTTTGTTTTTGTTGCTGAAAAAATGCACCATAAAAATGTGCTGATTACATTTATTGTAGTGAATACGAGCACATGCAAATAACATAGAAAAAAAAAAAAATTCTTTGTATTTTCTTTTAAAAATATGGTCATATAGTATGTTGGTGCGGAATGTTGGTTGTTTTTAGTACTATTTTCTGGGAAAGAGAAGGAAAAGTTTTTTTTTCTTTTAATTTTTGGTTGAACTGTTATTTGGAATTGTTTTAATCAGTAGAAAACAGTTGGTTTCTTGACTTTGTTTTACAATTTCTTTATCTTGTACAGTTCAATTTTGCTTTAAATTCGGTGGACAGTTTGGTGGGAAATTCTTTAATTTTTAAAATGAAAAACTAATACCATCAGAATCGTTTATTCCTGCTTTTTTCCAGTATAGAGTTGCACAGGAAGCTAGGATTTTATCGCTATGGTGATTCATTGCATTCTCATTTTTTTCTCACATCTTTTGCTCAGGCTTATGTCATAAAAGTGGTGGTGAGTTTGTTTATTTCCAAATTTTAGCGTTACACATCTACAACAGACACATTTATTTTGTCGCTGGTTAGTTGCTGTGAGTTTCATTGAATTAAAGTCGGAGATGGTTAATCTGCTTGGAAAAAAGAATTAATTTTATTTATTTTTTTTTAGGGAGGGAGGAGATACGGGGAGGACAGGGAAAGGAGGAGGGTGGTGGAGTTACTGTTGGAAAGTGTTTTGTATGTTTAACAAATGTTTGCTGGCTTTTTGATGACTCATCACTTTCTTGGAATCTATACAGTTATTGTTTTCGCTGGTTCTTTTGCCATTTCTGAGAGCTTTTGAGTTGCACACAAAGTTAACATGTGAATGAAAGATTGTTGAAACAGTCTGATTTTTTTTTTTTGACGTGATGACGTGAGAAGTTTGGTCCCGCTAGGGATATCTGCCGGCTAGAGATTCTGTTATGCTATAGGTTCAAACTAGACTTTGTTTCTAATACTGCGTGTGCACCAATTTTCACAGAGCTTCTTTTCAGAATTTTGTTGATGTCTCTCATTTATCAGTTTCCATTTATTCGTCAATTACCCTCTGCATATTTATTAGAAAAATTTTTCGCTTCAATTACAAGATCTGTTTTGGATTCGGTAGTAATCTGCGATATACTCTTTGGCAGTTTTTTCCGGCACTATTTTCTACATGGTATATGAATGTATATTAACGAGTATAATCAGGTATTTAGGATTCTTTTCGGTCTTTTTGATTCCAACAGCTTCGCTTATGAATTCGTTAATTTTGAGTTTGTTCTTTTTGTTGTTATTATTGGTGTTGCTCTATTTACTTGTTTTTGCTAGTGCTTTACTAATTTCTTTCATTCGGTCAGAATGAAGTTATGGTGCTAGATGAAATCCAGAATGATAGTTTTCAGTAGACTCCGTATATTATCGGTCATTGTTAAGATGCATGTCTTTATTGGAGAATATGGTGGGGACAACGAGTTTCCTGTGACGTACCTAACTGACATTGTCGTTCTGAGCGTAGTTGGCTTTATTACGCAAAAATTCTCAACTTTTTTCGTTCATAATCTACTGTAAATTACATGATGTAGTTCTGAATTAACAAGCGGTTCCAGTAGTAATAAGGCGGTTTTGCTTTTCAAAAAGTTGATTTTTTGCTTTAAGAACATACAGTGGTTGCCGTAAATCTGTGTTCGTTATGCGGCATTTCCCGGTTTTTTGTTATGGATTTTCTAACTTCAACATCATCCATTTGCTAGCAAATCCAGCTGTTTTATTACACCCTGGAGTATTCAAATAAGTTCAAAGTTTTTTTTTTCGTTATAACTTTTAGAACATTCTTTTCATTTACCATTTATCTTTGCGCTTTGGATATAGTGTTCCTAATTCATTAAATAACTAATTGCTTTAATAACTAATTGATCGAGAAATGAACTTAGTAACTTTTTTCTTTTTTTTTTTAGTTATTTATTCACTGTTTGTTTCAGGACTGAATGAGTAAAGTGAAATTATAAAACCCAAACAGAATTCAGACCGATTTTATTCTTACAATTATACATTTGCAGGGTCTTAGTCTTTTGGCTTGTTTTAAGTTATCTTCCTTGCTAACTGGTCATTAATTTATTTCTAAAATGACATCGATAACTTTGAAGAGATATATGAGTCGTTGCGTATTGTTGTAGTCATAGTCGGTAGACGTGATAAAATTATTTTAGCAGCTTTCTCGTTCAATAAGTACCGTTTGGTGTGTTACTAAAATTTTCCTGTATTTGGCACATAACTGTTATACCCTGATGATGGTTATAGACATTTTAACCGGTGATATTCACTTTATTAATACTTTCACGTATAGGGGTTGGTCGGAAGCGTAGTAGCCGCACAGTAGCGCTCTATTGAGTTCGGCTTTAAGCAGTAACAGTTAACTATGTCGCGGTCGGCTTTGGTTAGCACCGATCGTGAAACTTTCTATAAATCTCAGGTAAAAACTACACCATCTTGTTGCTTTATTCCGTTTACTTTTTTGCTTTTGATTTTTTTTTAGATTGTCGCTGTACATAAAGCCTTGAACAAAAATGAAGTACCACTGAAACCGAAACATGTGCGTGCACTAATCGTTGGTACTCATAGGAACAAGTCATCATCAATATTTTGGGACACAATATCGCGCATTCAGCTTGAAAAGAACCCTATAGTTTCGTGGAAATTCTGTCACCTGCTTCATAAAGTTTCTTTTGCTTACGCTACTTTTTAAACTAAGATTGATTCGGGCTTGCAGAAATATTTGATTTTTGACAAGATAGTGTGAAAGTTGTACTCTTTTTTGGATTCTTCCAAGTATGCTTTTGACTGACTTTCCAACGGTACACCTTCACAGCTTTTGTTATCTTTGTTGGAAATTACAGTTAATACGTGATGGTCATCCGAAAGTTGTCGAAGAAACTCGGCACTGTAAGCAGCGTATTGTTCAGCTTGGAAATTTTTGGCAACATCTCCATACCTCGAGTTATGGTCCAGCAAATTCTGCATACTGTAAACTCCTCGTTAATCGTCTTGACTTTTTAGAACGGGTAATTTCTTGCTTTTGAATAATGGTACCGTTGTAACGGTAGACACGGATGAAAAACGAGTAAACAGCTTTTTTAAGAATTTATTTTTCAGGCTTTTTGTAGAATGCCGCTTTGAATAGTTTTTCTATCTATGAAAAAACTATAGTCTTTTTAGAATCATCTTTTTCCTGGTAGTCTTCATTTGTCAGAGACACAAATGAACACTTTGGTAAATGGTGATGTAAATCATTCATTTGAAGTCTCTATTGAAATGCTTGACCAAATGGACAATTTGTTACACTTACAGTCAATCGGTACTTTTTTTCATGCCTGAAGCGTTTGTTACATTTCTGCATATATTACTACGAGCTTGATATTATTCTTTTTAATTGCTTCTTCCTTCCAGTTTTCGATGCAATGGGAGTGGTTCACTGGAATTCTTTAACTCCTCAAGGTCAATGCTTACTTGCTCCACTTATTCTCGTTATTGTTGATGCCAGCAAGTTTTACGACTATTTAGTGAAACTGATTTTTAAACTCCACGGCCGTAAGTTTTAGTTTACTAACTGTGTTTGAGCATAAGTAGTTCGCTTTAAAAATCCTTTTACTTTTCTGCTATGCGTTAACTGAGATAAGTAGTCATGTATTTAACAATTCATTCTGACTCGTTTTTAATGAGCTATGAAATGGTCTATGAGAAAATCATGGTGTATTATTCATATATGGATTATTTTGAAAATAACAATTCAGTCAGTATCAGAGGCAGCTGATGCATAAAAGTTCTGTGTACTTTGCGATTCTAGATTTTGGAAACTGACCTATCAACAGTTGACTTTATGTATTTTCATTACAGAAATTTCTCCTGATGCTTTAAGTGGTCATCGGGAAAGGTTTAATGATATTTTTGCTAAAACAAAGAGGTTCTTTGAGTTAGCGTCAAATCTGCAATACTTCAAGTATTTGGTCACGATCCCCAACCTGCCTGAGCAAGCACCAAATTTTCTTAGGGTATGATCAGAAATTTAGCTTTTGTTTGTTTTTTTTCCAGTTTACTAGTTTTTCCTTCTAACTGGGCGTTTCAGGCATCTGATTTGGAAGATTATCAAACACCTCAAGCCGTACTTCACTCTGATGATGTTAGTGAAAGTGACACACCTCCGGACGGATCTTCCATCGCCGATGAAAGTTTGGTGGATGTTTCGGAGCCAACATCGTTACAACCTGGAACTTCTTTACAGATTCAGCAAGATGAAAGGTAATATTTAAGTAATTTTTTGGTTTTCTGTTTTCAAAACGTTATAAGCCTCTTCTCGGTCGTTCTGACTTTGCTGTTTGTAAAGAATTTTATGAAGTTAAAAGGTTTCATGTGAACTGTACTTAATTTGCTTGCCAAATCTACTTTTCTTATTTTTGGCAATTTGTATTTCACACTTAGGTCTGCTTATACCATCCGCAAGAATTTGTTCTCTAGTTATTTTCTCTCTCCACTTTTTCTTTTGACAAATTGATTTTAAGATTTGTATAAAAATAAATTTAGTTGTTGTTCTACTGACTTGCTAGGTAGGCGAACTTGAAGAGCTTGTAGTAAACAGGCATGTTAAAAATGGAGGACTTTTAGATACTGAAGAAATATTATCGATGTTGTTTTATCGGAAAAGTGTGGCATGTTTTAGAAAAATTTTTTCTTTAAGGGATCAGGAGAATGAGGCATTGAGGCGTGATCTCGAAGATGCTCGTCTTAGTCAGGCCAAGCTTATGAATGAGGTAGTTTTAGGAATTGTTTGGAAGCCTTGTCTTTATCCGGCTTTCATTGCGTGTAGGCTTGGTTCTTTTCTTTAGGCTCGTGCTCGGATTGAGCAATATGAAAACCGCCTTCAGCAGGTTAAAAATGAAAATGATCATTATAAGCAGACTCTCGATGAGCTAAAGGTTTGTTATTTCAGTGACATTTATGTTTTTATTTTTTTTCCTTGTAAAGCTTTTACGTGTGTGAGATCTTGCGGCTAGTAGTAAGTATCGATAAATTAATCACTTTAGAAAGAAAATGACAGACTTCGTGCAGCGAGTGTTTTGAGCGAAAGACATGCTGTTGATGAGACAAGGTTGCAAGATGCCGAGAAGCGTGCTCAAAATAGTGAACAGAATTTTGAAAAAATGAAAAACGCATACACTAATTTAAGGCAAGAACATATACAGGTATTTTTTTCTTCTTTTACAGACATTTATGTTCTCTTTGTCATAGCATTTAGAATTAACAGCTTTAAAAAATTTTTTGCTCATTTTTTGAAGAGATGGCTGTTCTTCTTGAGCACAGCTGTTTAAAGTAAAGTTTTTGGAGAACTGAGTGTACTGCTTCTTATATTATCAATTTCAGTTTGCTTCAGTAATAAATTTTCATACTATTACAGGCTTTAAAAACGGTAACCAATCTTCAGAAGGAACTTGCAAATTCCGAAGGCGAGAAACTAAATAACGAAGAAGCTGTAAATAGATTGGAAAGAAAAGTTGCAGAAATTGAACAAGAGAAGATTTTGGCAGAAGAGAAAGCTAAAGGTGCTTTAAGTGCTGCAAATGATCTTCAGGGCCAGCTTGCAAGGTGTCACACGGAAATTGAAAACTTTACTAAGGTATTCAAGACATTGTTTGAAAAGCAGCTCTGCCCTTGTTTTTGAGGAAGGTGTTCTGAATAGTCACCTATATATTTTTAAACCAACTTCAGAATATTGATGATTTGAGTACTGCTAAAACAGAGGAGTTGGAAAATCTAAAGTCTGAAAAGCTTGAACTTTCTCGGAGGCTAGCTGAGTCCGAACATGAAAAATGTGCTTTGGAGGAAAAGACGCGTTCTGCAGAAGGTGAAGTACGAGCACTTTCTGTGCACCTTTCCAATAATAATGCTGAAATTAAGCGGCTGGAGCAGGTATATTTTTTTTCTCGTAGACTCCTTTTTTTTTTTTTTTTTTTACAGAGCTCTTAACATGGAGTAGTGCACAAGACTGAGCAGCTAATCAGATGCACTGTTATAAAAGAGTCTAAAATGAAGTTGTTGTAGAATCCTTTAAAACTTGAACTTTTTTGTTTTAAGAAGGTTTAATGTTGGTGCAGTTTTCTTTTTAGTACCAGCTACATTTATAGTTTCTTTGGGAATACAAAACGTAAGGTTGTTTTTTTTTCGAAAGATATATACTTTTTGAAACTGTTATTGAAGTTAAAGATCTTATTTACCCCTAAAATCGTTTCTCTGCAATTTGGACGATTTATTTTTTTGTAGTAGGTAGTAGTTTGAAATAGCAAAACTGAAAATGCGGATTTTGGAATGCGCTGCTGCTATGGATTTAAGATAAGGAAGTTCTTAATAACCGGCCTGAAAGAGTGTCAACGAAAATCGTTGGTTGATAGATGGCTTACTGAGAAGAGGAAGGAATGGCTAGTGAATTTGGTAGGGGGAACAATTTTAGAAGTGACCTTTATCATTTGATAGCGAATTTTTACGGAGTTTTCGCTACCGTTAAGACTATTCATTAAAAAAAAACTATTGCTGTCAGATAGGCTGCACAGGCTACACTTTGCTGAAATTTGTTTAGTCTGAAGTGCTGTTTACTGTTCAGAAATATGATTCACTATTGGATTAACATTTAATCGTTATATTTTCCTTGTGAACTTCACTTTGCAGAAGTTTGTAGTGTTTGTCTGTCGCGAGCTTGATGTATAATTCTGAGGTAATCAATTAATAACGATGTTTTTTCAGACTTTTGAAAATACTGTTGAAAAAGGAATTGAATTGCTTTACGTGCTCCTTTTTGACCTTTAAGAGCTTAGACAGATTCTTCAGGTGACTTTTATTTACATATTTTTTGAATTTTTTGCAGTCAAAAAGGGTAATCTAGAAAACAAAATTTACGGTGGAACGATCTAAGGGTCATTGACATTGTTTTCTCCTTCAGCTTCTTTCTCAATATTTTTGAAAAGAATTGCTTTTGTAATAGTAAGGAGATTGGATCCGTTTATTTAACTTAAGGAATTATGAGTGTGGGTTTTTTGATAAATGCATCTGATTAGTTGCCTGTCGTTATTGACATTTTTCTTATCTTTGTTAGTTTTTGAAATAGCTTTTTGCTCTGCTTGTGGCGGTAAAGCGTTCGTTTATTATCCTTGTATCTACCGTTTGTTTTTGATGAAATGCTGACGTATGAGCTTGCTCGTCCGCTCTAGAAGCTACAAACTTTATCAGATTTCGTTTTCGGCTGTTAGGTACCTTTATGTTTTGTTTTGAGAACTTCTTTTCATGTGTGCTTTCCATCCAGCTTTCTGCTGAGGCCTTTCATATGTGCAGTTTTTCGGTCTAAAAGTTTTTATCATTGGGATTTGGGGGTAACATTTAAAACCGAGTTTTTACTGAAAAGGTATATGTTATGGTAATGGAGCTTAGACTTAGAAAAACACATTAGGTTTCTCTGAGGATCTTGAGTGTATACTGTGAATATTATTATTCATGGCCCTCATCAGGCAAACTACGTTACTTGACTAACAAATTATTTGTTACTATTGGAGGCTGTGCTTTTGCATAATTATGCTAATATCATCGTCGAGGAACAGTTGTTTGCACTGGTATTTTTTAGATTTTTCTCCTCTTATTGCTTTCATCGCATTTGTAGGATTCCATTGTTGATTACTGGAACACGTACTGTGCTTTGTCTTCGTCATCAAGGAACAAGATTTTTGGCTTTTCGTTTTCACGTCGCTTCGTTTAATGTAGGCAGTTATTTGTGAAGCATGGTTTTATAGAAACTAGGAGAGGCGGAAAGAAATAAATTAAGAATTGCTGAGGATCTTGATAAGCAAATAAGTGAAGTGATTGAGAAATTGAGGGAAGAAGAACGTTTGAGACTTCTTTCCGAGGAAAGGGCGAAAGTGCTGAGCGAACGGGAGTTGAAGCTGAACAGTTTGCTCGCTAGTTGTTCGGCTGATTTAGAGCTATCGCAGGAGTTAGAAAAGCAGTTAAAACAACGCTTGGAATTATCTCTTTCCAACTCAGCGACGTTACTGCAGGCAAGTCATTGGTATATATTGGTGGAATTAAACTTGAAACCCTCAAATTTCTTCTGATGGCGTATGTATCCTTCAGACTATAGTGAGTTTGGAGAAGGAACTGCGAACAAAAGGTGTTGATCTTGTAAAGGAAAACCAAAGATTGGTAACAGAGATGGAAAAAAGGAAGGAAGATCACGAATTGCTGGAGAGGAAGCTGAACGAGGAAAGGATGAACAGTAGTTTAATTAAGAAGGAAAATGAAGAACTTTTTTTGAAGTTGAAGAGTATGAATGAAATTATTAGCAGCACCAAGGAGGAAGTTAGATCTTCAAATGAGAAAAATAGGTTACTCGAGAAGGCAAGTCCTGATGTTTGCATTGTAGGAGGTGTTTTAAAAGGCAGATTGTGTAGGCATCCTTTGCAGTTTCTCCATTTGATTTGAGACGTTTGAAGGTTTAGGCTTGTGGACAGCTTGAAGCTAACTACAAAGCAGTGCTAGATAATCTAAAAGTGGAGAAGGAGCAACATGAACTAGTACTGGTTGAGAAACAAAGGACTGAGCTAGAGCTGGAGCACGAAATAATTAGGGCGAAAGAAAATGAAAAAAATTTGAGCGGCAAGCTTAACGATTGTCTAGAAGAGTTACAGAAGTTTCATAGAAGCAAAATTGAATCATATGAAAAGTATGAACAGGCTGTGAACAGAATTGAAGTGTTAGAGAAGGCAAGTTTTCAAGCGACTATTTTTTTTTTCTTTGGTTGGTTTCATTACTCACTGTTTTTTCGTAAGTTTTGTTTTAGGCACTAAAATCCAAGGAGTTGGAAGCCAATAAACAATTAAGTGATTGCCAACAAGATTTTGAATCCCGGATAAATACACTACGGTGCAACTTGTTCGGTGCGTTTGAATTTTTAGTAGAAAAATTCTTTTAGTTTTAGTGCAATGTAGCTGTACAAGGAAACGGTAGTGAAAGAAGGCAGATTCATTAGCAATTTTGTTTGATTTAATCCTTATTTTTAAGGGTCTGCCTGTGGTGCCATGGAGGAATTTTTACGCCATTCACGCGATGAACTGGAAAGCGCTTCGTCAATGTCTTATCCAATTCGTATGTTTTTTCTTTTTCCGGTTAGTTTAAGTTTGTAAGTCTTTAAGTTACAGTAGTAGTTTTGAATTCAAGGCACTTTAAATATTACTATAAAGCTTTGTGCGATTAAGGTTTTTGAACGTTTAAAAACTGAACAGAGATTTCATAGGGAAGACCACAGCCTTAGTGGTGTTGAGTATTTCATTTGTTGAGGCATGAGATGTGGGCCAACTTCAAAAGCAAAGTTCTTGTTTCACAAGAAACTAAATTCTTGAAAAGTTTGATCTTCACTCATTGAAAACACATTTTGACCTAAAATCTTGAAGTTACAAAATATCATTCTTGCAATTATTCTTGGTGCAGGAGGAGTTAGAAGTAGTTTTTTAATAAAAATTGAAATATAAAAGGTAGCACTTTTTTAAATTTATTCTTTTATTTCAATATCAGAGGACGTGATTTTTAGGCGTAATATTTTCAGAGTTAGCTTTGTCGACAATGAGAATCGTAATTGATTCAGTGAAGGGTTCAGTTTTGTTGTCAAAAGATGATGCCACCCCAGAACTTATCCGTGCCACCACATTTTTCAGTCATACAGTAGCCGATATCATCGTGAATGCGGCTGCTGCAGCATACACCGTTTCTATACAGCATTTCGAGCGTTTGTTTTCCGTATTCTAAAATCTAAATTGACACCACTTTGTTTATTTCTTAATCTTACTACTCACTTTTGGTTTGTAATGAATTTGAAATTTCAGCAGTTCACGAGCAGTGCAGAACTGTTGCTGTAAATGCTCTTAATGTCATTGAACAGTTGAAGCAGATGAACTTTCAAAGCGCTAAAACCTCAGGACTTCCAAATTTGCTAGTGCGATTTATTTTTTTATACGGACGATTTGACGTCATTTTTACTTAGTTTGCTTTGTTGTGATATTTTTTCCTAATTTAATCTTTAGGAACATAATTAATATTTTTTAAAGAATTCTTTGGAAAAACTGGAAGAATTATGTTTGAAACTGCCAACATCATCCACTGATGTTAGCAATGAACAGTTAGGTGCATTACTGGAGGATGAAATGAAAAGGATGGATGAAGCGATACAGAAGGCTGTGAAAATGTTAGAAGAGATGCAGAAGAAAAGTCGTGACACTGATACTGGCGTTCGGTAGTTTCCCTAACACTGCTTTGTTTCCTCCTCTATAAAGTCGGGGTGTATAATGCCAGTTTTTAGAATTTTTAATTTACTAAAAAATTAATTTTAGATTAGAGGTTAATGAAAAGGTGCTAGATTCTTGCAACGCTCTAATGGCAGCGATAATGCAGTTGGTGGCGAAAAGTCGAGCAATGCAAGACGAGATTGTTTCTCTTGGTCGTGGTACCGCGTCTCCAAATGAGTTTTATAAACGTAATCACCAATGGACCGAGGGTCTGCTTTCTGCAGCTAAGGCAGTTGGTGCTGCTGCCAACGTCCTTGTGTACGCCTTTTTTACTTCTGATAACGCTGTTGCTTTAGTTTTTTGTGTGTTTTTTATATTTTCCCACTCGTGAGGCTCCTTTTCTGTTGTGTTTTTGAAAGATTTTAGTAGAAAATTACAATACTTTTTTTTT